CCCGCAGCATGCTGAGCTCCGCCGGGCCGGGCCGGGCCGGGCCGGGCCCCGCAGCTCGGGCCAGCCCCGCTCCGCCCCGCGCCCCGCCCGGCACCGCTCGGCACCGCCCAGCTCGGCTCGGTGCCCGGCAGAACCAGCTCGGCGGCCTCGCTTCGCATGGAATAAGCTCGATCCAGCTCGGTTCGAGCAGCAGTTTGGCTCAGCTCGGTCCCGTTCGGGTCAGCTTGGGCTCGGCACAGCTCAGCTCACTTCAAATCAGGCTTGGTTTGGTGCCTCATCCGTGTCCAGCACTGACTGCCTCTGTCCTGGTCCCTGTCCCTGTCCCTGTCCCTGTCTCGTCTCTCCCCAGGGAACTTTGTGCCTAATGCAGACAATAACCAGGAAAAAAGAGGGGAGAAAAAATCCCAGGAACATCTCCGCTGAGCTGGTTACTTATGCGGGGAGGTGATGAAGGAGAATTTGGGGACCTGGACTCCAGGTTCCACGGATGTGCCACCATTACCGTCCACCCAGGCACCCAAAAATCCCCTCCCCCGTGTGTAGGGGCAGTGGAACAAAGCCAGGGAAGTGCTTTCACAACAGGGAGTTTCTCGGTGAATGCAAATGAAAGGCTTTGTGAAATCGCTCCCAACAATGGCTAAAGGGCTTTTTTTTCTGGTTTGTTTTAGATGCCTTGTGCAACTTCGGCGTGTCCAAGTGCAGGGAACAGAGGTGTGCTCGGGTTATCATCACCATCACTAAGAAAGCCACAGACCAAAAACACAAAGAGATTTTTAACCTCTGAAAAAAAAAAGACCTGTGGTTTTTCCCCGTGTCAGGAGTCCGTGAAGGGTGACAGGGATGGCTCTGGTTTATTAAAGGGGACGGGAAAATTGTAGAATATGTTTCAGGAATAGTTTCACTCGCTGTCCTGGACAACCCAGGTCGCTCAAAGTCTTGCTGGAGGTTGCTGCATTTTCTCTTTGCAGGCGATTCTCTCAGCAGAATGGAATATCAGCCCACTTGTGCAGGAGGAACAGAAGAAGGCAGAACGCCCGCCCGAGGTTATCCAGCAGGACACGGATTAGGCCGTGTGTTTCCCGGATCAGCTGAAAAGAAATCCTCTTGTGCTGGATCTCAGCCTCCCTCACCCTTGTCCGCCCGCATCCCTCGAGGGTGACGGGTCCCGGACCGCGGCTCGGGCGCAGCCCTTTGGAAAGCGGCGCTCGCAAGGAGCTCTTGTTCCGCCGTGTTCTCCCTCCTGTCACAGCCCTGCGTGTGTTGAACCACCCGTGCGACATGCCAGAGCTGTTCTAGCTGCAGAGATGTGCCCAGAGGAGCGGCTCAAGGAATCCCCAGGGCACGGAGCTGAGCTCCAGCTCGGGGCTAAGCTCCCATGCGTGTCCTGTCTGTGCTCTGCTGATCCCGGCATGGACAGCGCATCACTGCTGTGTGAAATAAAGCTTTTGTTTCTCTCGAGCAGCCGCTTCCCTCCCCTGGGGCATGGAGGCAGATCCAGCGGCACCAAAAAGCTTCAGGGCAGAGCCGGCTCAGCCCCCTGAGCCTGCCTGGAGGAGGTGGGAGGTGCGGGAGTCAGGTGTCCGCTGGGAAACCATCCCAAATATCTGGGCTGGGCAGGCTCAGCTCCCTCCCCCTTCCACAGCACAGCCAAACGCCTGAGGGTGAGGTGGAATTTCACCCTGGAGCTTGGGAGAATCCGAGGCTCAGGTTACAGCTTCCCTACAGCCTGATGGTCCTTGTGCTGAGAGCCAGCACGGCCCGCAGGGCTCTTTGCAGCAGCTCTTGTGCCCCTGAGGGCTGGGGGCCACCCTGGGCTGGTGGGCTGGGAGGCTGCACCAGCCTGGAGGAGCAGGAGAAGCCAAAGAACCCTACCCATTACTTTAATACTGAATTAATACAACATAGAAATTGCTCATGATGTTTCCCACAGTTCTCCCCTTGCTCTGGCCTCTGTGAAGCACTGAGAGCTCCCACTGATCCAGTCTGCATCCTCCAGGGTCCCCAAAGAGACCCCACCACACTCACAGGACCATGGAGTCCTCCCAGTTTCTCCCAGCTCCACAGGGCAGGCACTGCCTCAGCTCTGGAGTCTCCCCTGAATCCAGACACATCGAGGACTGGATTCAATTCCTTCCACCCCCAAAGATTCTTCCAGCATCTCCAAGTTGCTGGAGGTTATGCTGAAGAGATGTGCTGAAGGAGGAGAGACATGCTGGTCCTTTCTCTTTATTCCCAAAACCAAGCCTTGCACCCCCAGCCAGGTCACTCCCAAGTGTCCCTGCTGCAGTTCTGATTTCCTGCAGCCTCACCATCCCAGGATGGTCTTTGCCCCGTATTGAGCCAGGCAATAAAAGCACTGAGCACAGATAACACCAAACACCATTGAACTCACAGCTCACAGGCTGCCCTAGCACAGCCTCTCCCGTGCCACAGTGGCTGGTTTGGGTCCCCATCTGAGGTTTCCCAGCGCTGCAGCTCCTGGCTCAGCTCTGCTTTGGAGAGTCCTGTGAACCCCTTGGGATCCTCAGCCGGACGTGGAGCTCAGGTCCAAGGGAAATGCTGGGCTGGGATCTGCACTGTGTAGATGTTTTGCTCCAGGGACCTGTGGGAGAGTGAGAGCAGAGCCCATGAGGGCACAGAGGGCTGCAGGACCAGGGCAGGATGGCAGCAATGTCCCAGAGCCTTCCAAATGCCCTGGGGACCCAGTGCTGGGGAAACAGCCTGGCTGGGGATCCCACAGCAGATGGGACAAATCACCCCTCATGCTCACAGACCCCGGACTGCAGGGGAGGCCCCAGAAGGGAGGGGCCCAGTGTTGCTCCTTTTGGGCATGGGAAGGCTCGAGCCCCAGGGCTCTGCTCTCCTTGGTGCCCTGATCCCACCAGCCACCAGCACCACTGCCTTGGGCTGGCACTCTCTGCCTGGGGGAAGAGGAGGAGACACATCAGATGTTCTGGTGCCCCTGGTGCTGCCCCCTCTGACTGCCAGCCATGGCTCTGAAGGACAAACTGGGCTTCCCTCTGCTCCTCTGGAGAGGATCTCCCCAGAGAACTGCAGGGACAGGCAACCTTTGGGATGAGTGTGTGAAGTCTGCTGGCTCCGGGTGCGGGATGAGGCTGGATCAGCTGAGATCCTGCCCTGCTCGGCCAGGAATGCCTCAGCCAAGGCCATCTGGCTGCCAAGCTCCCAGGGATGAACCTCTCCCCAGCAGTGCCAGCTGGCACAGGCCAGCCTTGCCCTTGCCCTTGCCCAGCTCTGGAGCACTGTGGCAGTTCCAGGCTGGGAATATTTGGCTGTATAACAGTCCTCTGCATTATCTTGCTGTTGCAGGGAGCAAAACTCCTCCCCCGGCTTTCACAACACAGCAAAGGCTGACGGTGCAGGGATGATGCCAAGGGAAAGAGCAGTGGGATGGACGTGGAGGTGACAGGGATGAGGGGGCTCTGTGCTGCCACACACCAGGAGCAGCATCTCCACAAGCCCAAGGCATGGAGTAGAGAGAGTGTGGCAATCCTCATGTTTAGAGACTTGGCAAAGATGAATGTTTCAAGAAAGGGCAAGGAGATCTGCTCATCTCAGCACCTCCAAATTCCCCACAGCTGCTGCTTCCCTGCCCTTTCCACCTTCCCAGTGGATCAGCTGCCAAGTGTTCTGATGCACTGGTGTTTGCTGGTTTCTGCCAGAGCACAAGGAAACACTTTGGAAGGGCACCTGGATATTTTTCTGGCAGCTGAAAGGAGGTTAAGTAACCCACTAGAATTTGATAATGTCACTAGAAGAATTAAGAATATAATCTCGGTAGCAGCCCAAGGGTGGGGCTGTTTGCTTCCACTCACTGTGAATGGAAGCCGGGGAGGTGCCAGCAGCCCCATCTGAGGAACCTCCCATGGGAGCACCAGAGGGACACAGTGAGGGGAATTAACTCAGCCTTTCCCAGAGGGACAAAGGAGTGAGGCTTCCCTGGACAGGGAAAGGCAAGGAACAACCATTGGAACTGCATGGATGGCAGTGGGAGTAACCACAGTTGGGCTGGTGTTAATCTGCTCCTCTTGGAAGGGAGTGCCAGATTCCAAAAACAGTTTCCCAGGATACGAACTCTGGTACAGCCACATGAACCCAGCCCTTTTCCTACTTGATCAGGAGAGCCAGGACACTTGGAGGCCACAATCCCCACCCTGGGGCAGGTGCAGCAAAGCAGCTTCAGCAGAGATGTCTCACCTGCAGTTCTGGCAGAGGACGTGGAGTCCCTCTGGAATGGGAATTTGGAAAGCCCCATTGGATGCCCACATTTTCCATCTTGCAGCAAAGACCCTGGGCCATCCCCCACAGGCTGGGGGGAGTGAGCAGGGGCACTCTGGGCACAGGAGCTGCCCCAGGACTTGCCCAGGTGCTGTAACTCCTGCTCAGGAACTGCCCAGCCCAGGTGCTGGAATGTCGTGCGAGGAGCTTTGTAGGGGGGAGGTTCTCAAACACACGGAATCCTTCTTTAATGGCAAAATCCCAAGCCAGCTCGGCCACAAACTCTGTGTCCTTGGGGCTGCTGTCACCTGGAGCTGGCCTCCCTGGGGACAAGAGAACAGGACACCTGTTTGGAAGAGCCTGTGTTATGTAGTCACATCCCAAACAGCATCATGTGCCCTCCTCCGGGCCAGCCCAGCAGGACCTGGGGAAACTCCTCTCTCAGGGATGTGAAAGTAACATCAGGTTTCATTCTGATAAAGGTTCCGAGAGGGCTCTCACCACCTCCCTGGGAGTGCCTTGGCAATGGCTCCTGCTGAGCTGGCAGGTCTGAGAGCTCCATCTGTAGGACACAGCTCTGGGCTCCCAGCCTTGGCCTCTGCTCGGTTCTCCCAGCAAAGGGGAGACCCCACAGCACAAGCAGCAAGCAGGAACAGGCCTGTGCTGGAGCAGCTCTGTGCCCATGGCCTGGCTGGGCTCCTCACCTGCCAGGGAGCCCCCCTGACGTCCCTGCAGCATCGCAGCCAGGCGGAAAAAGGCAAAGGCCAGGTAGAAATTCCAGTTCTCCGGGCGCTCCATTCCCATGTGGACACAGTACATCTGGGAATACTCCTCTGCCGTGGGAATTTCCAGGTGCCCCAAGTCACACTTCCTCAAGCCTGGAAGGTGGGAAGAGGTAACAGTGAGTCAGCTGACAGAGCAGCTCAGAGCTCCCTAGGGATGGTGTGAGCCTTGTGGCACAGCCAGGCACTTCCATGGAGACACAGCTGCTGTGCTGGCTCCCTGTGGAACTCTGGGGTTTGGCACCAGCCCCTGCCCCAAAATGCACATGGGGCAGTTCTCCTGGTTAGGGTGAAACTGTGACTGACAGAGATCCCTCTGAAATTATGGAGCCTCTCCATTTAACCCTGTATTTCTCTTTTTAACTTAGTGCACAAATCACTCCTGATCTGCTCCACAACTTTCCCACCCAAAAGAGTTGCCCAGCTTCCCAGCTGGAGGGAGAGGGGAAATAATGCAAACCCAGAGCCCTTTCCAGCTGCACTGAGCCCCACTGCCAGCTGAGCTGCTTGGGCAGGAGCTGATCTGTTCTGAACTCTGGTTCCTCTGCCTGTGCCAAAGGTGCCTGTGCCCCCTCTGTACCTCTGCGAGCACCAAAGTGGGCTGGCAGGAAGAAGCTCATACAGTTATTCGCCAAATCACACATGGGGTCTCCTAGAGTGGCAAACTTCCAGCCCAGCACAGCAAGGACTTCTGGCCTGTCTGGATGAAAGACCAGGTGGTCCATCCTGTATCAGAGGGAAAAAGAGATCAGAAAAGTCTCCAGAGGAGGGAAAAATCCCAGTGCTCAGCAGCAGTAGGTGCTTTCAGTGCTCTTCACCCTCTTCAAAAATTGTCAAGTCCTTTGGAAGGCAACACCAAGTGAAACATTAATTTCTGCAAGCAGAGGATGGAGGTTACTCAATACTGAATTGCTTGGTTAATAATGGACTAAACTGCTTTGGAGAACGAAACTGAGTAAGTCAGAGCCTCAGATCAGCAGCAGATGCTACCAGACAGGGTAACCAGAAAGTGGAGCAGGCAAGTCTTGGTCCAGGGGATCTCCTGGTCATTTCAAAGGCACAGAACTCCTGCCATGTGCTGTAGATCATGCACAGCTCTCACCAGTGTGAGCCCCAGGAGAGGCCAGGAGCCCACTGGGGAGCACACAGTGATCCTGCCAGGCTGCAGAGAGCTCCTGCAACCTCGGGGAAGGAGCCTTGGTCCAGAGCTGGCACTGCAGCCCCACAGCCCTGGCAGGATCCAGCTGAGCTGTAGCAGCACAGAAACACCACAGCATCCCTGCCCTCTGTCCCTCTGCCACCTCACTCCTGCAGGGCTTCCCCTGGAACACTGGCAGGTGACACCCCCCAAACTCTTCCAGCACCCAGTACCCCTGGCAAGAAGCACCAGGGCTGACTCCTGAGTATTGCAGGAAGAGCTGATGATCCTCCGGTGTTAGACCAGCATTTGCAGCTGCTGGAGGAAGAAGCTCACTCTCATTCTCTGGGGATGCTGACCCTGACCCAAACCCGGCTTTTGGGCTGCTCTGAAGCTGCTGCCCCAGCCCAATCAGCACCTTTTGGGGTTTGTGGGTCATTTTACACTCAGTCCCTGTTTCCTGCCTGGGGTGTGCTCCAGGGCAGTACCTGAAATCACCGTGCACCACTGTTGTCTTCTGGGATTCAGGAAAATGCAGAGGCAGCCACTGGATGAGCCTCTCCATCGCTGGGATAACGTGAGTTTCCACAGCTCGGTACTGCTTTGTCCAGGTCTCAAACTGCTGCTGGATGTAATTTCCTGGAACAGAGGAATGGAAGCTCCCAGGGAAAGGCACAAAGAGGCTTGAAAAGGGACACAGAAGAAGTCAAACCGCAAAGCAGATCTCGGTCCAGAACCCTGGTTTAAGCTCCAAGAATTTAATTGCGATTTCCAGGGGTCTCATATATTCTTAACTGGGCACTGGATTTAATATTCAGGTGGAAATAATCCAATTCTGGGCAAAAATGTAACTTTTCCACCTGCTCCAGGAAGCTGAGCTGTCTCTGCAGAGGGACTTGGGGGGATGCTTGGGAGGTTTGGTCAGAGATGACAGCAAAGAAGTTACTCCTGTACCCACAGTGGGCTGAGATGGCAACAAACATGGCAGAAAGCTCTGGGAGATTGGAGAACTTTGGGAACTCGTGGGAAACCTGGATTTGAAGAGCTCTTCACACCCTCCCACCACAGCTGAGGATTCAGACTCTGGACTGCTCATCTTCACTTTCCCACCTGCCCCCAGTTTGGTCCATCCTGCCTATCCCTTGAAATGCCGACACACAGGAGAAGAAAGGATCCAGAGGTTCCTCTCACCGTGTTCCCTGAGGTCCTGCAGCTTGGCTGCTCCGAGGTCCAGGCTGTGGATCCTGGCCAGGACGTGTGCCATGGCTCTGTAGCAGGCCCCGCGCCGGCGCGGCGGCACCGCGGGCAGGGACACGGCGCGGGGGATGTGGCCAGCACAGTGCTCCAGCAGGTAGAAGGGAGTGCCAAGGATGCTGGGGAAGCAAATTAGGACCAGTGGGGCTGAGCTCAATTCTGCTGCTACCCCTCAAATCTCACCTGTACCTTGCACAGGCCTCACTGCACGGAGAGGTGAAGAGCAGCCCCAGCACACCTGGGCACTCACTGGAGCCCAGCTCAGGCTGCCTGTGGCTGTGGCGTGCTCAGCCCTGGTCCCTGCAGCCCCAGGAAGATGAGCTTGGAGCCAGGCCCCAGCAGGAGCTGTTCCCCTGCTCCCTGCAGCGGGTGTGAGCTGGGCTGGGCTGCTCACAAACAGCAGGAGCAGTGAGGACACGTGGAGTGGCTGTAGTGTCTGCATCTGTCTCAGCCTGCAGAGATCCGAGCAGGCTGCAGGCCTGAGGGGGGTCCTGTCACAGATTTGCTGCTGGCTTTGCTGTCTGAGGTCTGGCACTTGGAAAAATCCTTTATTGCAAACCTGAGCACTCTGAGTCAGTGGGAAGCCCTGCAATATTGCTTTATAGGTGCTTTTCAAAGAGAGCTTTTGGTTTAATTGCTAAAATGGGACACACCTAAACCAAGCTGAATAAAAGTGAGTCTGTCCTTTGAACTTCTAAAGGCTACTCCAGCTCCACACTGCACAAATGTTCATTAGAGCAGAGCACTTTGTGAGCTCTGGTTCCTTCTCTCCTCATCTTTGGGAGAATTTGGCTGCAGTTGTCAAGCACAGAGTGAAAGCTGAGGGACAGGATTACCTTCTGTCCTCGCAGAGAGCAAGCACAGGGGGCACAGGAACACCAGCCTCAGCCAGAGCCTTCAGGACCCTGCCAGGGAGGGAGAGAGGAGCAAGGGAATCAGTCCTGGAACTGCAGTGTTGGAGGCAGACACACCATGTCACTGTGCTCAGTTTCAAATACACTAAAATCATGTGGCTGGGGGGAGGTGAAAGGAGCACACCCACATCTTCCCATGGCCCGGAGCCCCCAGACCTATCCCATGCTCTGGAAAACAAGGGGAGCTCATAAATGATCCTCCCCACATGTCCTGCTCCTCTGGTGCTGAGGCAGCTCCTCAGGCACAGCAAACTGCAGCAGGACCCCTCTCACCTGTATTCCCTCAGCACAGAAGGGCCTGAGGGGCCATCGGGAGGCTCCTCCTCCTTCTTCAGCACCAGCAAACGACCTCCAAACTTCACCAAATAGCTCCGGGTGGAGTCTCCATGGTTAAACTGCCTTAACTCCAGTGGGGCTGGGAGTTGAGAGCAGAGGGTCAGCACTTCTCCAGGTTTTCCATCCCCTTCCCACACCTGGGGCTGAGATCTCGGTGTCCCAAACCCCTGGGGAACATGGCAGTAGCTCTCAGATGCCTCACAGGACAGGAATATTTCTGGTATCTCTTTGGCAACTTGTGCTCAACCCCTCCCAAAATGAGGAAGTTCTAAAATGTTGTTTCTTATTTCTCGGAAAGTGATGGATCACTGAAACTGGAATGACTGTCTGTTTGCTTGGAGATTAAGAGCCTTTCCTCAATATTATTTTTCAATCCCTATGTCATATGGAAAAAGCCAATAGCTCCAGAATATCCAGGTTTTCTGATGGAAGGGCCAAACCCACTGCAATACCTGTTGGGTGGGCACCAAGAACATCTTCAAGGTACTTCTGCAGACGATCCTTTGGGATTTCCCTGCCTGGTCTCACTGAACGAGTGTAGGGAACAAACCCCCGCAAAGGAAATCCCAGATGGGCTTCCAGCTCTTGGAGTGCTGCTTCTGGATCATCAACCTGAAACCAGGAGGGAGAGAACAGCACTGGGTGACAGCTAGAAGACAAAATTTCCTGGGAAAGAGAGAGCCCTGCATGGTTGGGATGCATTTATCTGTTGAGTCCATCAGCACTGATGCACTGACACACAGGAATTCATGGGTCATTCCCTGCCAACACAGAGCTTCCCACCTTCACTCTGCCCTGGAGAGACCTGTGATGGTGGCACTGGCACTGTGAGCTTGGGCTGGGATAACAGCTGGAGTTCCCTGCATGCAGTCCAGGGGGGTGGAGGTCACTCTTCCCACCAGTCCCACTCTTGTCCTCTCCCCAATGGTCCCTGAAGTAAAACCCCTGTGCTCACTGACCCCAAAGACTGGGGGTAACCTGTCCATCCCCAGCTGACTCATCCATGAGACCTCAGGATTTCTGGGAATTCATTAATTTGGGCTCATTTTCTGGTGTGGTTGTCTCACCCATACAGATGGGGTTGTCTTACCCATACAGATGGGGCTGTTTGTCCAGTAGGGAATAGAGGAACAAGAAGGAGAAGGGACTTCCCTGAGGTTACACAGGGTTTGGAGCCATGAATGAAACAGCCCAGAGCAGAATTTACCACTAATCCCTGCTTTAACCCCACCACATCCTGCGGGGACAAGCACGCTTGGAACAAAAGGCTTGGCAACAGTCAGCCACTGCCACTTGAAAATGCTGAGCTGCTCAAACCAATGCTGAGCTTCTGGACCCCAAACCCATCCCCAAATCCCACTCTGGCTGTGTCACTTTGTACCTTCACTGTTTTCATGCCAAGCTGGGCTGCTGCCTTCAGGTTGTGGCTGCTGCTGTCCAGCAGGATGGATTCCTGGGGCTGCACAGCCAGGTGCTCCAAGCACAGCTTGTAGATCCCAGGATCTGGCCTGGGCATCCCTTCCCGGTGTGATTCAACCATCTACAGCAACAACAGATGGGTTATGCATGAGCTTGCTGCGACCACAAACATCTGGGCAGTGCTGGAAATGGAGCTGGGAGGGTGGGAAAGAGACAGGTTTAATTAACATGAGAAATGAAGGACGTGGAGCTGGGCAGGCCATGGTTGACAGGCTGACTGCTTTGGCTGTGGCTCCTCAGCTCAAATCAGCCAAACAGGATCAGCCAGTCCTTGGATGGAAGATATCCAATGAGATGTCCCAGTGTGGGACACTCACTGGGTGTCCCCAGTTGTTCAGGGCTGCCCAAGGAAGCCTTGGATGGCAGCACCTTCCAAAGGCTCTGGAAAATCTCCTCATCTCACACAGGTCAGCACGTTGGGGTAGTGGGTTTTTTGTAGTACAGGGGGTGTACAGAATCCTTGAAGAGTCTTTACTCTTTTAAAGCTTTTTTTTGATTGTTCATTTTTTAAAGCAGGCAGGGCAGTGAATAATAACATTTCTTTCTGATGTCCCAGCTTCCAAGTCCTTTCTCTCCATCGCTGCCTGTGCCTGTTACACAGAGACTCGTGGTTGTGTGGGCATTTTGCAGTGGATTTGCAAATGTCACTCAGCCCCTCTCCAAATGCCTACAAGGAATTGTGTCAGGAGATATTTTTTTTCCCCAGACTGTTCCACTGATGTCAACCAAACTGTGTTGCTGCTCATCTGCTACCTGCACTTAAAGAATTCCAGTTGCTGCTTTCTCAGGTGGAGAAACAGAGCCCATTTGGGATCCATCCAGACTTACCACATCAAAGTGCTGCTGGTCCAGGGGCAGGAACCTCTCTCCATCCCCCAGGCACAAGTTGTGGCTCAGCAGAGCTGTCTTAAGCCCTTCTGCCCGGATACACTGAGCTGCTTCTGCCATTATGGGGAGCTGTTTTATCATCTCATTTCGGATCAAATCCCAGAGAAAGGAGTGCACTGGAACACGGACATTTGCCTGAGAAACAGAGAAACCCCAGAGTGATAATGGGCCAGAAATTGGGTGAAAATAGGCGTGGTTGGGTAGGTAGGTTGCCTGATCATCTAACCTTGCTGTCCTGCTTCCTCTGGCAGCAGGAGGAAGGCAGGGAATCTCTCAGCTAAATTGCTTTGCCCAATAAACAAATGTTCTCACATTCCTAGTTCTACAGCAGAGATAAAGGGCTGATTTTGGGAAAGAGAATTCACTGGGCCTGTGCCTGCCATGGGATCAAGGCAGGTTAGAGACAGATACTGACAGCTCAGTAGGCAGGAGAGGAATCTGCATTTTAGACTGAGATGCTTAAAAAGACTTTATTCCAGTAGGAAATTAAGGCAAATTCATCTGCCTGCCCTGCCCAGGCACCAGGATAATGGTGAAAATGTGCCCTGCTCTGACAGCAGTGCTTCCTACATGGGAAATCCAGACCCTTCAACCAAAGAATTTCTTTTAAAGCTCTTCTTTCCTCACTGGACCTGTTTTCATGCAGTCAGGAAGGACAAGGAGAGCAGGGGGGAATTGGCTTACAATCTCAAAGCACTGCTGTCCCAATTCCTGCAGGAACTCCACAGCTGTCAGCTCTCCTCTGGAATACTGGAGAGAGAGGCTGTTCTCCCCTCCAGACAGTGCAGCTTGCTGGATGGTGCCAGCTGGAATGCAGCTCTGCGCCTCCCATTCTGCATGGAGAACAGTAGGGAAGGCAGGAAAGAGCATCAGCAGAACTGGGAAATCAGCTTGGAATCCCTCTGAGGTCGATCCATGGCCCAGCTCTGTGAGAATGATGTGCTGGACTGGGGTGATTGGCCCAGCACACAGAGAAGAGTTTGGGCATTCTGGGAACTGCAGCACCTCATCCCTGTTTTCAGTGTGGAGAATTCCTAAAGCTGCTGAAGGACTGCAGCAGCCTTGGGTGCTATCAGGTGGTGGCACCACAGGGCAGTTTTGTTACCGGGGGGTTCAGGGTGGTCACTGTTACTTCTGTGGCTTTTGATGGCACAACAGGTCTCACCATCACAAGTTCTTGGGTTTCCCCCAATGAACTCTGGTTCACCAGAACCAGAGACACCTGAAATTCATCTTCCCTCCATGCACAGGAACAACAGGAGCTCTGGTGACCAGGGACCAGATCAAGGGAACGGCTGGAGCTGTGCCAGGGCTCAGGATGAAATATCAGGGAAAGGTTCTTCCCCCAGAGGGTGCTGGGCACTGCCCAGGCTCCCCAGGGAATCACAGCCCCGAGGAGCGTTTGGATACCGCTCCCAGGGGCAGAGTGAGGATTGTTGGGGTGTCTGTGCAGGGCCAGGATGATCCTTGTGGGTCCCTCCCAGCTCAGGACATTCTATATTCTGTGGGATCAGGGATGGGAATACACACCTGTGGCTGTCCTGTGAGGGGCTGGGAGCAGCACCCCACTCTCCTCAAAGATCATGGCTTTGTAAGAGAACCCTCTGGACTGCTGCTGGATCAGCAGGAGCCGCCGGATCCCGGCACACAGAAGGTTCTGGGCACGGGCAGCGCTCCTCAGGTACATGCTGGGAGGGGCCAAGGAAACTCACACCTCAACAGGAGAGAGCCTGGAGCAGAACTGTAGAATTACTGGGGAAAATGTTTATTTATGCACACAGAATCATGCAATTGTTAATGTTGGAGAAGACCTCCAAGATCATCAAGTCCAACCTCCCCAAATCCACCAAACCTCAGGGCCAAGGGCCACCTCTGCTCCTGCTTTGAACACTTACAGGGATGGAAACTCCACTCTGGCAGCCACTGAAGTGTCCCGGCCAAAACAGGGACGCTAAATGGGGTTTTACACAGGGCCCACATTGCTTCAAGTGATGGGGACAGTGGGATCACTCATTAATAACACACACTAATTACAGATCATCATCAGTGACTGCAGCCATGTGCTGCTCTCAGGGAACGCAGGACAAACAAGGCGAAACAGCCTCAAGCTGTGCCAGGGGGGCTCAGGTTTGACATCAGGAGGAATTCCTTCATGGAAAGGGAGGTCAGGGATTGGAACTGCCCAGGGAGCTGGTGGAGCCGCCATCCCTGGAGGTGTCCAAGGAAGGCCCGGAGGTGGCACTGGGTGCTCTGTGCTGGTGACAGGGCGGGGATGGGTCGGGGGCGGCACTCGGTGATCCCGGGGCTCTCTCCCCTCAGAGATTCCGAGATCCCTCACGGCCCCGGCAATGGGCAAGGCTCCCGTTCTCGCGAGAACGTACCTCCAACTCTCGCGAGAAGCAGCAGCCGCCCCTCGCAGCCCCCCGCGCGCTGCCGCCGCTACCACCGCGCCGCCCGCTACGTCACCGCGCCGTGACGTCACGGGGTCAGAGGGTAAAGGTGCGGGAGGCGGAAGCGGCGCCGGTCCCGGTCGGCGGCGGCGGCCCCGCGGAGCCCATGAGCGTGTCCCTGGTCGNCCCGCAGCTCCGGACATGGCAGCGGAGAGCACCGGCGCGGCCCCCGCCGCCGTGCCCGCCTGCCTGGAGGGGAAGGGCCCCGGGGAGCGGGCGGCCATCCTGCACCAGCACCTGGGCCGCAGGGAGATGACCGACGTGATCATCGAGACCATCCAGCCGCGGGCAGGTACCGGCCGGGGGCGGTTTGGGGACGGCGGTGGCGGTCCGGTGGTGGGGAGAGTGTCCCGGCGCTGTCACCGGCCGGGCAGGGCCGGGCGGCCCGGGTGTTGTGGGGTTTGCGGGTCCTGGGTCGGCCCCGCAGTTTGGAAAAGAAGCGGGGAGGTTGAGGAATGTGCGCTGGGATACGGGTGGCAGAGCCGGTTATTCCTGGTGGGCACTTTCCGCTGGCCTCATCCCAATCCCCAGCTCCTGAGAGGGGCAGCTCCAATCTCTGGGAGCAGGGACAGCACCCAGGGAACGGCTGGAGCTGTGCCAGAGGGGTTTAAACTGGATTTCAGGGAAATTTCAATTTCCCCAGAGGGTGCTGGCACTGGCCAGGCTCCCCAGGGAATGGGGAGGGCTGCCAGAGCTCCAGAGTGTTTGGGATGCACAGGGTGGGATTGCTGGGATGTCTGTGCAGGAACAGGAGCTGCACTGGGTGATCCTTGTGGTCCCTTCCCCTCAGTAATGGGCAAACTTTGCCTTTGTGAAAGATGAAACAAAAGCTGCCATGGAAGGAAGAAAATCCTCGGAGTCTGCATCAGCTGAGGACAAAACTAAACAGGAGGATCAAAGCAAGGATTGTGAGGCTGCTCCAGACTCGCCTTCCAAACAGCTCCCAGATCAGATTTCCTTCTTCAGTGGGAACCCCTCGGTTGAAATCGTTCATGGAATTATGCACCTGTACAAAACAAAGTAAGAATCCCTCACTGATGTTAACTTGGGTGAGAATAAGAGTGTGATTTGACCACCCCGGGGCTGTGGCTCCTGAGTGGGGACAAACAGGAAGGGTGACTCACTCCTGGGAATGCAGAGGGTGACTGGTGTTAATGGTGCAGCTTGGGGCTGTGGGTGACACCTGTGACAGCCCCAGCTGTGGGTGACAGCTCTGTGTGACACTGAGGGAGTTGAGAGCTTGTGAGAGTGTAAGACAAACACAGATTCAAAAAAAAAAAAAAAAGACATTTGAAAGCAGCTTTCCAAAGGATCCCACAATTAAATCCTGATCTCTGGGGCCTTGGTGACAAGCCTGGGGAGCTTGTCTCATGGTCTCATGCTGTATTCCTGATTCCACACTACTCCCTTATAACTGTGTTAGAACTCCCATTTCAAGTCTTCCTGAAAGCCACCAGGAGCCACCAAATGGGCATTTGGAACAGTAACAAACACTGCTCAGTTGTTCTAGGAATAGTGCTGAACAGCTGGGGCTTGCCAACTTTAGCTGTTTATGTAGAAAAACAGGTATCAAACTATTCCTGGCTATCCCATTGTTCTTGGAGCTGCCCAGGTTAATCCTTGGCTTAATGATGCCTGTTTGTGGTCACTCACCACAGCCCCTTCCTCCTCCTCACTGATGACAAAAGAGGGCTAAAGTTTGACAGTGGAGTTGCTGTGACTGTGTGTCCAGCTGTGTCCCTGCTGTGTCCCCAGCAAGATGACGTCCCTGAAGGAGGATGTGCGGCGCAGTGCCATGCTCTGCATCCTCACTGTCCCCGCCACCATGACCAGCCACGACCTCATGAAGTTTGTGGCCTCCTTCTACGAAGTGATCGAGCACATGAAGATCATCCGAGACTCCACCCCAAACCAGTACATGGTGCTCATCAAGTTCAGCTCCCAGGTAAGATACTTCCAGCGTTCCCTTGGCTGCAGGAATGTCACACAGTGTCGCTCTTCAGGAGGGTTGAGTGGCTTCACTGGGCAGCCCTGAGCCAGGGTTGTACTTACCCATGGAGAAACAGCCCTGTCCTCCTTCCCAGAGAATTCCCAGGGCTGCTGAGGTTAGTTCCACACCTGGAAGCAGTGGATGCCATGTTCTGGCTGTCCTGTTCTTTAGGCAGGATATTTTAAAGAAATTAGTCCATTTACAGAGTTCTCTGCTGCCTCTCAGCTTGTTCAGAGTCTTGTGCTGTGCTGAACAGAAAAGACCCAGCCAGGGGAGCTCCCTTTGTTTTAAGGAAGACTTTTCCTGCTTTTCTGAGGATCTGGGGGGGTCTCACAGTCACTGCCAGTGTGGAAAGCACAGAGCCCTCCAGTCTGAGAGCCTGGGGGTGAATTGGTTCCCAGATAACACAGTTTGCTCCTTCAGGCCCCTCGGACTGGGCAGCTTAAAATTCTCCCCTCAGGTTCCTATGTGGACTCTTTCACTTGGACATTCTCTTCTCCCAGCTGCACATGATTTGTTTTGGGGTTCAGGGAGAGGTTTCCCTCAGCTGCGAATTCTGCCTGAGAGATTTCCCCAAGCCCTTTGTGTAGATGGAGGATTTGTGACTTTTGTGCTAATTGCAGTAGTTACAAAGATGGTTTTACATCTCTTGTTGCATTAAATTACTCAGGCAAATAGTGCTAAACAGCCTTGCAGCAAATCCCTAAACTTTTGCTCAATTCACCCTGAAATTCCTGTTTATCAGGCAATCCCCTGAAGCTCTGTTGACCCCTAATGACTGTGCCTGCAGGTAGCAAAACAAATCTCCAGGTTCTTCATGCTCCTGCCCGGAATCACCAGGAGAATGGGAATGTGGCATTCAGCTGATTGCCTCAGTCCAGTGTGATGGCTGTGGAGAAAGGGTTTGGGGAGCTCCTGAGGGAAAAGAGGTGATGGATTTGGGTTGGTTCTGCCTCTTTTGCCCAGGAAAGTGCCTGGACTGTGAGCGGTGAATGGATTCCTTCCCACAGTTAAACTGTTGCTCCTGTCCCTGACACCAACCTGCAACGTGGCCCTCTTACATTTTTGCAGAGACCAAATTTGCTTTGCAAATGCACTGAAATTTCCAGCAGAGGGTAAAAGGTGCTGAAGGGGAATCCCCCATTCCTGCTGAATGCTGCAATGTCAGCGTGGTGTCACTGCCCTGAACTTCACTTGTGTCTTCCAGAGGTGATGCCAAAATGCAGTGCCTGGAGCTGGCTGAAACCCCTCCTCTGGTGTTTCAGGGAAGAAGGGAGGTTATGGGAGGTTTCTCCTCCTCTCCCTTGGTTGGATCAGCTGGGATTTTTCTGTTTTTAACCAATTTGCCCTGCTCTGTGCCCAGGCTGATGCAGACAGTTTCTACATGGCCTGCAATGGCCGGCAGTTCAACTCCATTGAGGAGGATGTTTGCCAGCTCGTGTATGTGGAAAGGGCTGAAGTCTTCAAGTCAGAAGATGTAAGTTTGGTTTGGTTTTTTTCCTTGCACTTCAGAAGGTTTTAACAGGATTATTTGGAGAATAAACAGCAAAAATATCTTAATACTTCATCCCCAACTCCATTTCCCATTCCAGTGGTCCTTGGAAGAGTTTGTGTGATGACTCCATGGACTTTGTGCCTCAGCTGTGACCTAAACCTGCCCTGGGTTGTAATTTAAGGAATCCACAGAGCACAGTGGGGGCTGGTTGCAGGTGCAGCCCCTTCACTGAGCCCTGGCTGTGACCCTTTGAATTTTGGGGATAGCTTTCTTACCTTTGCAAGAAATTCCCAAGCAGCCTCACAGCATTCCTCTGTCATGGGTTTGAAGCCTGGTGCTAGCAGTGATGGGAAGTTGGAGTTAATTGCTGGTGATGGGAAGGTGCTGAGCAGTTTCCCTTTATTTGGTGTTTGCAGGGGGCCAGCCTGCCCGTGATGGAGGATCCTCACCACGCTGTGCAACCACAGCTTCCACAGCCAGTGCCTGCAGCGCTGGGAGGACACCACGTGAGAGCCTGGGCTTTATTTCCACCTCTGAGGCCCTGCTTGGAGTGGTGGGGGTTGTGCTGACAAAGCTCTGCTCGTCACTGTGGGGGCAGGAATTACTGCAAGTCCTAATGCTCAGTTTTTCCCATTAAGGGGTTCCCAGAGAGAAGTCTCCCCACCAAAAGTAATTGAAGAGTGATTCCCAGGGGCCTCGCTGCTGAGGCAGGGAGGGAGTTGTGAAGAAATGCTGATTATTTCAAAATACTCTAGGAGATAAGTGCTGGGCTAAACAGGCCTGGCTGCACAAACAGCCCTGCTTCACTCAGCCTTGGCAGCTTGGCATTGCAGATGGATCTGCTCCTGCCTGGAGCTGAGGGGCCTTGTGGGGAGCCCTGTAGCCTTCTCTCCTACCTGGATGCTGGGAGGGGAGGAAGAGCAGGTGAGGAAGGAAAAGCAGATGTGCTGGGGCACACTGGGAAGGGGAAGGCAGGGGAAGAAGGGATGATGACAAGATGGCTCAGTAGGTCAGGCAGGTGAGGCTCCTGTTGTTCCAGGTGAGTGATGGGAAGTTGTGTCCTTGGCACAGGGAGACTCTCCATGGCACTGGGCAGGCTGGGGCTTGGAGCTGTGTCCATCCTTAAAGCAGCTGTTCTTGCTGCCACTGACCCTTTCCTCTTAGTGCTCCCAGCTTCCCAAATCCCTGTGGAGTGGGATTTCGGAGTGCCTGGAGCCCCCAAGTGCTGCTGTCAGCTGGGTGTGTTTGCCATTCCTCTGGACACTTTGCTGGTTTGCTGCACCTCAGGCAGGCACAGACACTGCAGACACAGGCTGCAGATCCTCCCTGTGGCTGCTCCATCCCTGCTATCCCAGTTCCTGGATTCTCTGATGGAATGTGAGGAAGATTGTAGCTGTCTTTGATCTATCACTCCTGAGCCAGAGTAACAGAACTCAGTGAGATTAATCAGATTTGGAGCTGTGCAGGCTGATGGGCTGCTTTGCTCCATAAATCCAAGACAGTGGAAATTTGGGGCAGTGGAGCGTAGCCAGCGCAGGAGCGAGATCCCAAATAGCCATCAAATATGGAATATACCATTTAAGCAGAACTTATGCTCCCAGTCTAAAGAAATAAGAAAGGAAAACCTCTGTTCCCGTGGCTCAGGCACCACAGAGGCTGCAGGTGCCTGAATTTGAATAGGAACTGACTGTAGCCCAGTTGTCTCTTCCCTGGAAGATTTCTGGGGCTTACCCAGCAGCTAATGAAGAATACATAAACAGTCCTGGCAGCCTCAGTTATCCCATTCCTGAGCTGCTGCTGCTCCAGGGCTGGGCACAGCTTCCTTCTGCTCTGGGGTGTTCTGTCTTTGTGGCAGCACTGAGGGTGTTCTAAAAGAGATGGAAGATCTGGATCCTTGGTAGATCCAAAAGACATTCCTGCTACTGATTCTTTCTGGGATGTTTTTCCTGGGAAAGCTGAGGCTGAATCCTCAGGGTTGGGGTGGGATTGAAGCATCTCCTCAGGGTTGTTTTAAGGACTGAGGGGTGTTTGCAGAGTGTCACTTGGCTGTCCCAGCAGTGTGCAGTTCCAATGCCCTTCCTCAGTGTGTAGCTTCTGTGTAAACCCCTTGGACTGCAGCAAAACCAGATCCAGCTGAAATGGCTTTGGGAGAACTGTTCTTTGCTCTTAAAACCAGTAACTTTGTGTGGAATTAATTCAGGTGGGGTAAAAGTGTGAGCTGATGGGTGATCCTGCTGCACAAGGCATTTCCCTGGAGCTCTCTGGCTCTTTTCAATGGCTGGAATGGGAAGATGTTGCTCCCTGTGTCTCATGACATTCTTGTTGCCCTCCAGGTGCCCTGTGTGCAGGTACTGCCAGACTCCAGAGCCCGTGGAAGAGAACAAGTGCTTTGAGTGTGGAGTTCAAGAAGTAAGTAGGTGGGTGGAAGGTGAGATCTGGCCTAGATCTGACTGCACAGCTGCTTGGGTTGCTTTAGGGCTTAATTCTTGTGCTGATTTTGGGCTGGTTTTACCAGCCAGTGGGGTATCAGCTTTCCTTTAGAGTTGCATCTGGGAAGGGATGTTACCTCACAGGCTTCCTGTTCTGATGAACCTCTGTGATTCTAAGATCAGTGTGACAGCAGGGAGCTAAACCGGCCTGATGGTGGTGGTCCTTCCAGTCTGTGCCCTCCACAGCTTGCTGAGACCCCTCATTCCTTAACCAAGGTTCTTCTCCCATCTGGGTGGGATTTCTCCAGCTCCTGCAGGGCTGTAGCTGCCTTTGGTGGCCAGGGACCCCCTTCTCTCCAGCCTTCCAGCTGAGGAGGGGGCGTGGGAACGCGAACACCGCTCGTTCCTGAGGGTGTGACTGGAGTGGGGGTGGTGCTGCTGCCCCCCAGAGCTGCCCCCAGAGCTGCCCTTTGTGTTGCAGAACCTGTGGATCTGTCTGATCTGCGGGCACATCGGCTGCGGGCGCTACGTGAGCCGCCACGCCTACAAGCACTTTGAGGAGACACAGCACACGTACGCCATGCAGCTCACCAACCACCGCGTCTGGGACTACGCCGGGGGTGAGCCTGCATGCACCTCGGGCACCCCCAGCAACAGGGGCTGAGGCACACTTTGCTGGGGATGGAGGAGGTTGTGTCTGGGCTAATCCCTGGCTTTGGGGAGCAGCCATCTCTGCTCAAACAGCAGCTTCCTGGGGCTGGAGGAGGGAGAAGGTGACCCTGTCACAGACTGAGGCGGTCCCACAGCATCCCTGGAATGTTTGTTGCTCCTTTTCCATCAATTTGCCCTGGCTGTTGTAATAAATACCCCATATTTACCCCCATGGGAGGAATCTGCTAAAGAACAAATCCATGAGGTGTTGGCTTTGTGCCTCACCAAGGGGCAGGGTCTGGGTGGTTTAATTGTGCTCCGTGATTTGGGTTCTTCAGGTCTGAGTGCCCATGGTTGGATTTTCTCTCCCCAGACAACTATGTCCATCGGCTGGTGGCAAGCAAAACTGATGGCAAGCTAGTTCAGTACGAGTGTGAGGGGGATATGTGCCAGGAGGAGAAAATTGATGCCTTACAATTAGAGGTAAGTGTTTTCACTTGTGGGACTCCGCATTGTGGAAGTGTTTCCAACCCCGCCATGACCACGGTTCAATCCCATCAGCTGAGGCAGCAGATCTGCTCCCAGCCTGGAGGGAATTGTCTCCAGGCAGGAGCAGGATGGGTTTACTGCTTTTTTTTTCCTCTTTTTTTTTTTTTTTTTTTTAATTTTTTTGAAGCCTCTCCCTGGCTCTGCAGAGCCGATGCAGCGCAGCGTGAGCTGGCTGCAGTGTTGTCCTGTGGTCACTGGTGATTGAAGAGGAGCTGCTTTGTGCTGCTGCAAACAGGGGGCACTGGGGGTAGAAGTGGGTCTGAGTTGCTCCCCAGACCCTTCCTGGTGGATCTGTGGCTTGGATTCAGAGCCAGGGTCTGTGTGGAGCTCAATTTGGGTAGTTTAGCTCCCAGACTGAATGAGGATGAGGGAATCCACAGCTGTGTGCTCACCTTGGCGAGCACAGAGAGCTGACAGTCTGATGCCAGCCCTGTTCTGTTCCCTTCTCTTGAACAGATAATGATTTATTTATTTTTTGTACCTGTTGCCCAGCTTCTCCTCTCCTAACTAAAGGAGAAGAGCTTGAAATCCCTGCTTCACTGAGCAGCCACTGCAGCACGATTTCAGCCGCATTAGACACGAGGGTTTGTGAGGAGGAACAGCCCACAGAGACCAGACTGAAGGAGCTCATTGCTCACATAAATATTTGGTTGCTTTTCACTGAATTTTCTGAATAACACTTAGATGCTAAACCAGCTAATTTTAACCCTTTTTTTCCCTGTGAGGCAGTTGCTTAAAGCATGTAAGATCTCTCTTTCTTATGAGATTGAAAGATTCAAGAGTGAAGGAATTTGGCAGAGTGTTTTGGCACTCAGAAATTACTGAGGGTGATCAAGGCTCTGTGCATGTTTAATTCTCTAGTGAATGCCTAATTTGATGCTTATTAGCTTGATGAAAACGAGTAATCACCTTTTTCAACCTTCTCATGACTCATTTGCAGAACCAAAAGGGAAAATATGAGATGTAGGGCACAGATCCTTGTTCAGATACCAAAATGATATTGGAATGGGCCATACATGTTGGAGAAGAGTAATTTGGAATAGTTACAGGAAGCTGAGGGTGCTGTCCCAGAAATCTTACAGGAAAGCTGGATATGTGCACTGAATCCTACTGCACTAGAGTTTGGGTTGTGGATGGGAACTCTTCCTCTCAGCCTTTGGAATCTCAGACTTTCAGGAGAGGGATGGGTCATGCTTCATTTTCCTGTAGACATTAATTGCCATTGCCATGAAAAATCTGTCTCCTCCTTAAAAAGTTCCTGACTTGACACTTTTACTTGATTGATCCCTGTTGTGCTGTGAAGGCTTTCCTTAATTTAAAAAAAAAAAAAACACCAAAATTATTTGATTGGGAAATCAAACTAGTGAAAGCCATCAGCTGGATCTGCAGCTGGGATGTGTGTCCAGAACCTCCTGATTTCATCTGATTGGAACCCTTAGGACTCCTTAACCAGCAGGGCCATCCTGACTGCCCTGTGTCTCTGTGTTTGTAGTATTCCTATTTGCTGACGAGCCAGCTGGAATCCCAGCGCATCTATTGGGAAAACAAGATAGTCCGGATCGAGAAGGACACAGCTGAAGAGGTGAGCTCTGCCCTGGGCCTGTGGGAAGGCTCCTGGCCCTGGTAAATGGGACAAGAAGGAGCTGCTGGATCTCTTGTTGAGCCTGGGTGCCGCCTGCCGCAGCCTCGCGCAGCCTGCTCCGCTCCCAGCTGGGAAAATTGGCTCCGAGATGGATCTGTCCCTTATCTGGCTGCTCCCAGGGAGCAATTTGCTGCTCAGTGGTGCAGAAGCAGGTAGATTGCCACAGAGATTGCAGCTTGATTTAAATGTGCTGCTGGGGAAATGCAGCAGTGGTGGAAGGCAGCGCGTGGTGCTGCAGGATCCCGGAGCCATCCGTCTCTCCGACACGGATCTCCAGGGAATGTTGGTGGAGCAGAGACAATATGACTTTAATTTGCTCGGCTGCAGAAGGTGGAACTGTCTCTCTGCTCCAAATGCATATTGATTTGCCCTTTCTTTTTGATCCCCTCTCTCTCCTCATCACCCTTTGGGAAAAGTTCAGAGTCTCCTCCTATAAAGCATCCTGCAGGCAGGACTGCTTCAAAATGTCACCAGGAAAAATCCAGGGAGGATATTCTACTGCTTTTTCACTCTGCATAGATCCTTTCAACCAGGTTTAAAGTGAATCAGGATTTAGAATTAAGTCCTTAACTCTCTTCAGGACTTCTAATTAACCATTTAAATGTCTGCAGTTAAGTAAAAATAGAAATTGTGACTGTTGAAATGGTGGTCATTGACCTTGTCCTGAAGACTGGTCCCAGGAATCTTATGGAGAGCCATATAAAAGGAAAATATGTATCAAAAACTGCCTTGCAAGTGGCCAGGAGACACAATCCTCAAAGCAGCTTGAAAATGAAACCACTCTGATCCCTGCTCCAAACGTGGTGTCACATTTAAAGATCCCAATAATTTTATCCATGGCACTTGCTCCATGTAAGTCTTGTCTGGATCGGTGCCACCATGCAGTGTATTCCATTATCAATGCTCAGGCTACTTCCCCACATTAACCATCAGCTGCACAAACATTCCCTGATCAAAAATGAAAGGCTTCAAACCTGCTTTGCATCCACGTATGCTGACGCTGACATTTGTCCAGACTGCTCCTCCAGGAAAGCATTTTCCATTAAATTCCTGCCCCACGGCATGTGAGCGTGCTGGAGGCACCAACAGGAGGGAAACAAGAATTCCTAAATTTCCTGTAGGTCTCATGCTGGAGGTTTGACACCTGGAGAAGCAGAGCTTGGCTTTCTCCTGGAGCAGCAGCTGGAATGGGGCAGCAGAGGGAAGAGGAAGGCCACGGCCAGGGGATGTTTGTGTTTGTGGGAGAGAGATATTGGTGTCAGTGGGTCAGTGCCTTATGACAGCACTGCTGAGTCAGCCCCTGTTCATCTTCACACTCATTCTCTGAGGTTTAGTTTAAAATGAGCAAAAACCCAGCCTTGTAATGCCTTGAGGTGAAAATCTGAGTTTGCTGATGGATCCAGAACCACGAGAGAGTGGCCAAAGGAATGCTGGATGCAGGCAGGAAGAAGTTAAGGAGCTGCTGCAGCTTTTGGCAGTGCCTGGCACGAATCTGCAGCCAGAGTTGCTGTTCTGTGGGAGCAGCTTCCACGGCAACGTGGCTCCTTGTCTGGGATCTGAGGGTAACACGGGGGGTCCTCACCACAACAAAGCCTTGGCTCCGAGCTTTCCTTACCTGGGGAGAGGAATTGGTCAAAGTCTAGAAAGAGCTCTGGAAAACGGAATGTCCTGACGAAAGGGCAGCGGACTTTGAGCTGTTGGAAATGTCCCTGTGTTTGTTTTTACAGATTAACAACATGAAGACCAAATTTAAAGAGACCATTGAGAAGTGTGACAGTCTGGAACAGCGGCTCAATGACTTGCTCAAAGAAAAGCAGTCAGTGGAGAGGAAGTGGGTACCGCTGCCAGGTTTAGTTCCATGCAGCCATTAAAACACCGTGCACTGACATCCAAAAAGAAAAAAACCGTGCTATTCCTGGGCAATTTTGAGCTGTTTAAGCTGCAATACCGAGAACATGGCTTGCTTTAAAAAAAGCTCTGATTTCTGTAGGTGTTCACAAATGGGAAGTGTCTGAGTGAGCACAGCTTTGGGGCCCTGAGCTCCCTTTCCATGCTCTGCATGTTTAGCATTCAGGAATCCTTCCTCTCCCTGCTCTGAGGGAGATGCCAGCCTGTTCTGCCCTTGGTGGGTGCATCCAAAGGGATGAAAGGCAGCTCAGCAGAGACATCACCCAGCACAGAGGAAAATACAGATCTTGGCAAGTGGCTGAAGGAAAGATGTCAAGCCTGGGAATTGTGGATCCATGCAATCCTTGGGTGGGACTGTGTCCCTGTTCCTCCCAGCCCATGGCCTGTCCAGCAATCCTGGCTGGAGCAGGGAGCGCAGGCACTGATCCCCTTCCTGAGTGGGAAGCAGGCAGAGGAGGGTGCCAGCAAACTGCCAGGGCAAAAGCAGAGTTGTTGGGAGCAGGAAGCCCTGTCTGTGAATCACAAGGCTGATACCCTTGTGGGAGCATCTTCCCTCCCAGTGAAGTGGTGTTTTGAGGGTCTTGGAGTGTGGCAGGAGGCCCCTGACTGCCCTCAGCTCTCTCAGGGTCCCTTATAATTCCTGTGCCCTTTTTGGCACCCATTCCAAAAGCTGCAGGTGCGTGTCCAAGGTCAGTTCATTCTCCCTGGCACACCCTGCCTGTTGCCTGTGCTGTTGGCATTTGGCATGAGCTGGAATTGCTTGACCCAGGCGGGATTTCAGAGTCTTTTATTGCCTCCCCTTGCCCATTTTTTCAGTAAAACCAGAATCCAGGTGTTTTGGTGGGCTGGGGGTCGGTTACCCAGTGGAAAAGGCTGAGCTGGTGGTTGGTCTGGGTGGGCAGTGCTGCTGTCCTGACTCCTGCTTCTCTCTGCAAGGTGTTCCCAGCTGAACAACAAAGTGGCAAAGCTCTCCAACGAGCTGAAGGAGGAGCAGGAACTGAACAAGTGCTTGCGAGCAAACCAGGCCTTGCTGCAGAACAAACTGAAGGAGGAGGAGAGGCTGTTAAAGGAAACCTGCGAGCAGAAGGACCTGCAGATCTCCGAGATCCAGGAGCAGCTGAGGGATGTCATGTTCTACCTGGAGACACAACAGAAAATCAACCACCTCCCAGCTGAGACCCGCCAGGAGATTCAGGAAGGACAGATCAACATTGCAGTGGCATCTTCTGCCAGCTCCTCCACGGCAGGCACGGGCAAACCTTCCTCCAGGAGAGGCCGTGGCAAGAGAGGGAAATGAGAACAGGAATTCTCTCCTCCCACCCTGGAACTGGCCATGCCAACATCAGGCCAGGCTCACCTTGGGACTTGGGCTGGAAACACCCAGCTCACTAAAGCTCAGCTAGAAATTGTCTCCAGAGCTGCTCATAAAACTGGCTGCCAGTCAGTGAAGGTGTCTGTGGTATTTAAAAGCATTTCACTGCACTATTTAGCTGTTTTCAGGCAGATCTTGGTGACCATTTTTGCCTTCCCTCCTTTTCAGAGCCCCTCCTGTCATGCATTTGACTTTCTTGGAGAGTGTTTTGGGGTGGGGGGGGTGTGTCCATGTCCAACATCCCATTCCCTGCAGGGATGCTGTAGAGTAGGCTCAGCCCAGTGTGTAAGGCTTCTCCAGTTCTTCTCCTGGATTAAAAGTACTCTCAATTAAGAAGTTATTTAATAAACAGTGTAAATTAGGTTATATACATCTCCTTTTTGTATGTGCAGTCCTGACACTGCAGAACTGCCTGTGCAGGAGTAGAACTGTAGTTTGGAAAGAAAAAGGAGTGAGGTGTGGAAAATGAACCATCTTAGTGGTGTAAGAAACCAGGCAAGTCCTAAAGGCCAATGGTCTGGGAATTTAAAGGCTTTAAGGGACTTTGCTCTGATCTCTCTTCATTTTAAAGATGGCCTTGAGAGGCCAGCGCTTGCTGTGCTGCCTGTGGGGCAGAAAGGGTGGAAGTTTTGTGTTCTGGATGCTGTTTAATGTGGTTCTTTTATAGGTATTTCTACAAATTAAGCGGAGTCATCTGTGAGTTGGGGAACACATTCCGGTGCTCTTGGAGCAGGGTGGGTGTGTGTCCCCTCCCTGAGCTGCACTGGGAGTGCTCCAGAACTGTTTTCCTCAGAGCCAGGTGAGGAGAGGGACAAGCACAGCCTTTTCCAAACTCTTTCCACATTCCCGGAGCTGCCGGTGCTGGGTCTGCAGTGGAGCCTCCACCAGATCCTCACCAGGAGCTGCAGCTCTTGGTTCCAGTTCCTGTGTTCACCAAAACGTGGCACTATCCACAACCTCAGCTGGCAAAGCTTCCGTGTGACTTGCCCCAAAGGGACTCAGGTCCTGGAAGGGAATTTTGTGCACAAATCTAATTTGGTTTGGGTTTTTTTGTTGGTTTTCGCTTAGAATCTAAGACTCGATGCTCTGGGGTGGCAAGTTTTCCCCTGGAGAAGCGACTGTCCTGGCTGCTGTTGTGCTCAGAATTGGAGCATTTAAAGGCTGATCTTTTGTTAAACATGGCAGGGGAGTCCTCAGTTGTCTTTTCAGGCCAGGGGACAATCCTTGTCCTTGTTGGAACAATCATGACCTTAGTTTGGAACACTGAAACAGCTCTGGCTGAGCAGGTCCAGCCTGGAACACAGGCATGAAACAGCCAGTCCTTTATTGCTAGAAGTTGTTCTTTTTTTGGCCCATTGAAAGGGACAAGTCCCAGTCCCTGGAATGACCCCAGGAAGGCGGGTGGTTCCCATCCACTTCCTGCCTGCATGGACAGAGAGAGTTGAACTTCCTGACTGGAATTACAGGGCTGTTAGTGCATTCTGGGCATCCCCTGCTTGGGTTTGGAGATCTGCCCCCACCACCTGGAACTTGGACCTTTTCTGACTTTGTAGCAGGAATGTACACTCACTTTTCCGGTGTGTGGATTGTACTACCAGGCCTCTGCCTTCTGTAAATGACTCTTAAGGACCTCGAGATGTACAGCACGGCTTGCTCTCCTAGAGAAACTATTTTATTTAAGATATATTTTTACACCATTAAGATCCTCTGACCTTTTGCTGAAGGCTTGCTTTGTGTAGAACACTAAAGATGCTGTACTGTATCTTGGAATTCATTTTCAAAAAATGTGATGGAAAATTAAACCAGCGTGCAGTTCTTTCTGTGTATGTGTTCCACTGGAGGGGAGGGAGGAGATTATTTTGGAAGTCTGATAGTTTTAAACTCAAAGGCAAAGCTGTCCTAACGAGCTCTTGGCCTTCTGTGAGCTGGTGAAGTTTGGCTCAGCTAAGCTGATAGGAGCAGATAAGGTTGGGCAGTCTTCTCTGGGCAGCTTGTGCAGAAAAAACAAGAATTGTTGAATGCTTTGCATTAACCCAAATAACTCAGTCCTTGAGAGCCCTCTAGCTTCTCTTTAAACCATCCCAGGTGAGCAGAGAACCTGCAGTGTCTGTTTGGGTGTTTATTCATGGCTGTAGATCATCAAGCTCCCCCAGGCTCCCTCCCTTGGGAGACTTCCCATGGATTTCCCAAGGAAATGGGGCTTGTGGTGAAAGGAAAGGTTCCAGCTCGGGCTGGTCTGTGACACTTTCCCTTACCCCTCATCTGAACCCACAAGTGCCTGGAAAAGCTTTGGCACTGGAACCTCAGCCTGTGGTCAAGTTTTGACATCAGCAAGTGGAGCAGCAGGTCAGCCCTGGCTGTGACTCACTGTCCCCACAGCAGGAGGCTGCAGCGGCCTGAAACATGCCAGCACTGGACAGCTGAGATTGGCAGAGCTCCTGCTGTGGTTACAACCCTTGAAATAGACTTTTTTTTTTATTTTGAAATGCTGAAGGGAACACACCTTTCCCCAGCTGAACAGCACCGGGGTTTGCTGGATCTGCTGCGTGATCTCCAGGGAGCTGGAGGACACAGCCTGCCTTGGCACTTGCCACGTGGGCTCTGTGGAATGACGAAGAGATATTCCTGCAGGAGCAAGAAATGAGAGACCTACTCTCCCCAAAGCACTGCTGGTGGCCAGCACGTGCTGGGAACTTCACTGGATCCTGTTGTTCCCTCTGGAAAAGTTCCCTGCTTCACCTCCTAGCAGGGAGGGAGCAGAAGACCAAAGTGATTCCGTGAGCAGGGGCAGGACGGTGAGTAGGAGGTGTGGGGCAGCGTGGGGACAGCACCCAGCTGCCTGAGAGAGGAGATCGGCAGGGGCTGCAGCAGAGGCTGTGGGGTGGCAGGGGCCAGGGAGAAGCCCAGCTGGAGCAGGGTCCCAGCCAGCAGCCACACGGAGCTTGGCAGAGTCTGGAGGATGCTGCGATGATTCACTCCAGCAGCTGCTCCCAAGTGAGCGCAGGGAGAGGCGGCTCCACGGGCTGAGGGAAAGGCAGGGACAGAGAGCTCTGCTCCCCTGCTTGGGAGGGAAGTTTTGGGCAGCTGGGGGTGAGCTGGAGCCCAGGGCTGGACTGTCACTGCTCCATGACAGGAATGTTCCACCTGAGCCATGGCAAAGCTGGGGGGGCAGTTTGGGGTGACACATCCGATATTGCTGTTTCTGGTTCCAGGATCTCGTTCATTTTTTGTCCCCTGGGGAGAACCTGTCCCTTAATAACAATTAATCCCCTCCATGCCACCACTCTGCAGAGGAGCCAAAGTCCTGGGTGAGGTGACATCTCTGGCTTGTGCCCAAGGAAAACCTCGCACAGTGCCATGAGCAGAGTGGACACAAAGTCCCCTCGAGGCAAAGATCCACAGCCACTCTGCAGGGGCTACTCTGCTGTCCCACCACCTGCTCCCTACTCCCTTTACCTTTCCCCTGAAGCCCAATTCCCTATGGCCCACTGGAAAATTCCTGCCTTGATCTGCACCAACTGACTTGTCTGTTCTCGTTTGAACTCTGAGAAATTCACATCCATTTCCCCAAAATCTCCTCCCCCCGTTTTGTTTTTTTTTTTACATAAATGGGCATTTTGGTCTAATAATTGTGTCTTAAAGGCAAACTCATCCAGCTGCTCCAAAGGAGATCCCACACCAGGACAGCCAGCGTTGTTTGGGGTGTGTTTTGTAGCACAGGAGGGATATTTGTGTCTTCCTCCCCCAGCCTGAATTCCTGCACGCATTTCCCAAGGCGAGAATTGTGCTTGGGTTCACCCCAGAATCTGAGGAGCAACAGTAAAATAGGGACAGGTTTGCTGGGAGCAGGAAGCAATTGGAGATATTTGCTTTCATTCCAAGTGAAAACCCCACACCTACAGCTTCCTGCCCCTGCACCACCCCTGAGCAAACATTATTTATAGCAGCAAGAGCAGTTATAGCTTTGCCCTTTCTTGACCTGGAAGTAATTGGTTAATTGAGTTAGACAACAAACCTCAACACACTCGCATGGTTTCCTTCCACCTTCTCCCAGGGAGCTGGAAAGTCAAACTCCTTCCATCCCAAGCTGGTTAAAAACATCAAACACCTCCGGGAGAACAATGTTTACTTCCCCACCAGGAAATTGGGCCCTGTTGAAGCTTCTTCAGGGCCAACAGCTCCTCCAAAGCTGCTGCACCTGGGGGGTGGCTGCCTTGCTGGAGCTGGAGCTGGGGTAGGTGGGGGCTCTTTGGGGAGGGTTTCCTGAGCTGTGCTGAGGCTGGGAAGCCATGGAAAGTTTTGCTGCTGTTGCTGCTGCTGTTGCTGCTGCTGCTGGGAGCTAAGCTCTGAGCTCACCAGGAAACTGAGATTTTGGTCTTCGCAGGTTCAGTAATGTTCTGATTTGGTGGTTGGAGAGGTTCTCTGGGTTTGTGGGCCTGAAGGCAGTGGGTGAGGATGAGCTGTGTTAAGCACATGTTTTATTCCCAGCCTGAGATCCTGGGCTGTGCTGATTTTTCCTGGAGACAGACTGCAGTGAGCTGGTTTCTTGCTTGTTTTCTGTGTCCCTGTGTGGTGGCAATGGCCTTGGAGAACAATGTCAGTGTGGGACGTACCTTGGTCTTCTGGATGCAAAGATGATATTTTTGACAACAATTTACAGGCCTCTGCCTCCCAGTCTCCTCTTCCCTCGTTTTTATGTTATTTGGGATATTTATCAGTCTCTACTGATGTGGAACATTCCTTGGGGAAAAAGAGGCTCTTACCATGTACAGCAGAGGGGTTTAAACAGGTGAAGGAAACCCACTTGTGTGGGCTCCTCTTTGGGGTGCTGGGAGACCCCCCACTTACAGGTGTGAGTGAAGTTCCAAAGCAGCTTCGTGATCTGTCAGAGCTCTGTAAAACTAAACCAAACCCACAATAAATCCTTATAACATCTATACCAGGACTAGATCTCCCAGAACAATTCCTCTGCACTCCTGGGAATCTTAGCCCAAGAAGAATTAACTTAGGCTGGAGAAACTCCTGGTGCTGTTGGCTGGAATCCGTGGTCTGTGTGGAGTCCCAGCTGGAAAACCTCCTGTGAGGGCTGGAGGGGCTGAGTGGGAGATGTGGCCAAGCGAGATGGGTGAGCTGGATTTATCCAGTTATGCACAGGAGACAGGGATGCTGCTGCAGCTGGAGGCCCCGTGCTGATGGAGGGGAAGCCAAATGGTCTTGTCCAAGCACAGCTGTGCCAAGAGTTTCCCTCTGCAAGTGTAGGGGTTGCACAAGGAGCAAAGAGGACTTTTCCCAAGCAATCCTCCTTGGGAGCTTCCAAAAGTGCTCTGGCTTCCCGTGAAGAAGAAATCCCAGCTGGATTCTGCTTGTTCAGTGAAGGAGCACCAAGAGCCAGGTGCTGCCCTGGGATCTGGGAGCTCCTGGTTTCTGACCCTTCCTTAAAAACTCCCTCAGCTTCATCACAAGGAGCCAAACACCTTCTCCTCCTTCCAAAGAATCAATGTGGAGGAATGATCAATGGTGTAAAAGCTGAGGCTTACGTGGGAATGCAGGCAGCACTCTGCAATCACAGCATTTTCCTCTGCAGCAATCGAGTCAAACTGCAGAAGCAGTTAAGAGGATTAGATATTTTTGATCATATTTGCAGCTGTGCTTGCTGTAACCGAGAGGAGAAATCCAAATGTCTTGCCTTGGGAAGTGACTGAGAGCCTGGAAGGGAGTGTTCCCTCGAGACCCTGCAGCCGGGGTGTGCTCAGACCCTGCTGTTTCCCAGAGCCATGAGGAGCTGTCATTCCTGCAGATGGAATTGTGGCACTTGGCTCCCTCAAAGATCCAGGCTCCAGTGGAAATCTCCCTGCGAGCCAGCCTGGATGCAGGGCTCTGATCTGCAATGGTGGCTCCAAAATCTCAGAAGGTTGAGGCTTCCCAAGTGCCACAACTTAAACAAGGAACGGTGTGGAAGACGTGCCAGGTTCAGAGCCAGATGTGAGAGGGGAGATCCCTCCCTGGAAATCACCAAGGATTTCTAGCACTGCAGTGCTAAGTAAGGAAAACTAATTTCACTGTGCAGTTAAATTTCAGTGTCTAATCCTCACACATTCAGCACTGTTGGAGTCCAAAAAAAATACCTGACTGTTCCCTCCAAACCCATCCCTGCAGAGATGCTGGGGATGCACTGCCAGCACTGCAGTAGGAAGCTCCTCTGTTTTTCCCAAGGGAAACTTCTCTGTTTTTCCAACAGGGCCTTGGCCCCCAGGATGGGCTAAGAGGGAGTATGGAATCCATTTATCCCTTTTTCCATTCTTAAATAAAAATGTGGCCAAGGAAGAAGACATCGCTCCTTGAGCCATGTGGTTGCTGGAAGTCCCTTCTCCATGGATGGAGCCTTGGATGTCCCTGTCCAGGACAGGCAGGTTCCTCCTGAAGCCAAATCCCAGATCTGAGCCCCAGGTGAGACATCCCAGAGGAGGGGAAAGTTTCATGTCTCATTTCCAGTTTTCCTGATGATTTTAGCACAGTGAACAGGGGAAAGAGCACCAGAGGTAACAAATTCAACCCTTTCCAAACACAGTCATGTGGTTGTCATCTGCCAAAAACATAAACCACAATCATAATCCTAAATTTGTCCTTTGAACGTACCTGTGCCTGCTCTGTAGTAGTTTCCTTCTAATCCCCAGGGATTAATCCTGAAGTGCATTGAAATATCTGAGGTGAAGGGCTACAGTGGAAATTCCTTGTGGGCTGGTAATAATAACTGAAAGCTGTTCTGTGAAGCAAACCTGAGGCTGACTTGGTTTTTAATGGACATCTGTCTGTAGGGGGAAAAAATGCCATGGCAACTGGCTTTCTTGTTGGCACGGCAGCCTCAGCGAAGGGCTGGGGAGAGGATGGGTATGGGAGGGTCTGTGTGGCTGTGCTGAGAAACCTGGAGGTATGGCTCGGCCAGGCTGGGAGGCAAAGGTTGTTTATGCTGTGTGAGCACCAGATCTTGAGGGATTTAACAGCTAAATCTTGGCATAACGATTGCTTTGTGTGCTGCTGCTGCTGCTTAGCAGGAGCCAGGCTGGGTTCCCCCCTCCCTTTCCTAAAAATGTGCAATCTAAAGGCGTAAAGAGCCTGGTTGACGATTTCCTGGCGCTTTGCTGGGCAGGGTTGGTGTCTCCCAGTTTGCAGCCCTGTCCCAACAATTGCTGCAGAGCCATGGCTTTGTCAGATTGATCCTGGAGCTTTGTTGGGTGAGGAAGGAAATGCCCTTGTCATGTCCAAGGCCTGTGGAAATTGAGAGCAAGGGTCATTCAAGTGTTGATTATGGGTGCACAAGCTCTGGCACTTCCATGCCTCCCTCCAGAGCTCTCTGGACACCAGCATTTTCCTTCATCTCCTTTTGGTTGCAGGAGAAGCAGCTGGATGCATGGCCCAGCAGGGACATCCATCATCCATGCCCTGGCTGCACTGAGCTGCAGGGCTGAGAATTGGGAAGAAATTGCAATAAAACTGCATGTGCAGATCAAAAACTGCATCTGATGGGAGCTGGTCTCTGCTCACAGCTGAGCTGTGAATTTGGGAGCTGGAGGCAATGGGAAGATCAGGGTGGGGGGGAAAGGCAGAGGTGACAGCAGCTGTCCCACGTGGTTGGTTTGGAATTTGGGGCTTGGTTTTGCTGTGGTACCAATTCTGGTCGGGGCAGGGGTGTGTCATCAGTCAGAACTGAGAGCAGCTTTGCTGACGAGCTACATCGTATCTCTCTGGGAAGTGCTGCCTGTGTGTCACAGCACCTGATTTGTTCTCTTAATATCCTTCCAAGTGTTCGGAGATCCCCGTGCTCACAGCACTGTCCACAGAGCTTTACCCTCCGAGAAGAGGGGTGGGGATAATGGCACTGAAAAACTGAAGTCTTCAGGGAAGAGAAAACATTTGTGTGGAAAAGCTCAGTTCCCTGAGCTTCCCCAGCAGCTGATTTTGCTCAAAGTAAACCCCTGTGCCCGTGCTGCTGTCCCTGTGTACCCAGGCATCCTCGCTGGATGCTGTTGAGGATCACCCTGGGTAGCTGAGGGAAGGGAGCACAAGAAGAACAGCAGGTTAGATCAAGGAAATGTTACATCACACGGCACTTCCTGCTAAGTGCTGCTATTATCAGCCTCATTCATCTCCACATGCAAATACAGCCTGCACATCTAGTCACACATCTGGGTGGAAACAGCAGTACTGGAAAGGAGCAGCTCTAACCTGGATCGTGGACAGGAGAGGCAAAAGGGAACATGATTCTCCATCAGGAATTGTTTCCTTTCTTTCTTGACTGAATCCTGAATTTTTCTCCAGCTAAACCATCACATCCACTGTTGGCTGTTCTTTGTCACAACATCATTGACATCCAGAATGGCAGCTATAAATGGTGGGGAAGAGCAAAAACAAAAGGGTGAGAAATTAATAAAACCAAGCCATAAAATAATAACTATTGGGAATGGTGGGCTATCAAGAACAGCAAATTTGTGAAGTAGAGGGAATGATGTGCCCTAACTGCAGTCAACCCCATCACACTGGGAATTTGGGGAGTTCACTGCAGACACAGGCAGAGCAGTATCCCTGGAAAAGCTGGCTGCCACTGGAAACCACCCTGCAGCTTCTCTGGTGGTCATTGCTGAGCTATTTCAAATGATCACTCCTATATTTACTTTTAATCTGCTTTTTTATAAAGATGCTCAACAAAGAAAAAAGGGAGGGCACAACGAAAGCCAAACAGAGCTTAACAAAACAAAGAATACATTGAAGGAGAAAACAAGTCAAACTGCAACTGCTCTTGAGTCATTACTGAGGATGTGAACACCAGCCTATTCATACCCTGCTTTCTGAGCACATAATGTCACCCTAAAATGTACTTTAGTGTGTTCACATCATGTCTTAGAAACTGTCTCTGCCTGTGGAATTTGTTTCTGTATTTTGTGACATTCTTGACTATCAAGGGCTCCATCTTCGCCCCACAGCCCCTTCAAACTGCTGCAGGTGCTTTAATGGCTCTTAACCTTCAGCCACTGCTGTGAGCTGTGAACATTTCAAGCTGGAAAAGCATTGAAGTGATGTCCTCTAAAAACCCCACGTTAAGTGACCTGGATGGGTTATACTCTCTCTCTTATCAGACTTCCTTGTGCTTTTTATTAACAACTTCCTTTTCAGAGTTGCTCAAGGTTCAAGACTAACCAAAAGCTGTAGAACTCATAAACAGCAGCCTAAAGAGGTTGGTTCACAGAAACATGGAATAACCTGAATTGGAAGGGACCCATAAGGATCATCCAGTCCAACTTCTGGCCCTGCACAGACCCTTCAACATCTTCATAGCCTCTTTTGGGCACTCTTTAACAGCTCTATCTATTTTTTATACTTTTATAAATTATTGTATACTACTACTACAACTATTATTATTGTTATTATTACTACTACTATATTGTTATATATTGTCTTACATTGGTGAAGTGCTTTTTCATGCTACTGGGTTTTACACAAATATATATAAAGGATTTTTCTTGGCTGCTCTTAGAGATTTATTTATCCCATCACATACAGTGAACCAAATTCCTGCTCTTACAGTAAATGCTCCCAAAATTGGTGCCAGTGGTAACCTTTGGCTCTGCAGGTGCTGATGTCTCTCAGGCTCCAGAAATCCTCAGTCGTTCTCACACAGTTCCGTGGCTGTGAAACAGTGACGCGTCTCGTGAGTTCACTGAAAGGATTTAAAAATGTAATTTCCTTAAATCACCAGCTCTGTTTAGAGGTTTTTTGCTGGTAAAATTCTTCATGTTGAGCCCGTTTTGGGTAGGATCTGTCATGTAGCTCATAAAATGTTAACCACAAGGTTACTTGGGCCTGTGAGGTAAAACAAAACAATCAGTTTAAAAGGTAAAATGTAAGGAAAATGCTAATTTAAGAAAGCTGTTCAATATTTGTTATCCTTTTACCATTGTGTGCTGCCACCCACAACTCTTCCAACTGCATGAGAAAGCTGTTGCTTTAGGAGCAAGGTGTATAAATAATGCCTGCCTAAGAGCACTGCTCCTTTTTATTCCATTGGAATCCTGTGGGATTTCTAGAGCATTTCTATGAATAGATTAAACTCTGAGCATTTCGAGTAACCATGGCTATAAATCAATTTAGCTCTTGGTTTTCAAGTTGCATCTGCTCTTACTAATCCTGTATGTGCATTTTTTTTATTTTTTTATTTTTTTTTAATAGGACAGACCAGGCTTTATTTTTGTGTATGGGTTTTGGTTTAGTGAAATTCCCACTCTGCACCAAGCAGGTTCCACACACAGCCACTGCACCCTGGATTTCTGCAGGGAGCCTGGTGATGGTGGGCAGGTAACATGGAGTGAGGGGAGAAGCGGCATCTTGAGCTTAAATATTTTATCCATCAGCGCAACGCAAACTTAGATTTCTTTACTACGAGGGGAAGCCCTGACTGCTCCGAAATCTGTAAGATGGAGGGGCACTGCAGGGAAAGCAGCCATCCTCCGGCCCCATCTTGCTTTCCCCCAGGAGCAGGGACGTGTTTGGCAGCGACGGCTCCGGATCTCTGCGGATCAGGGCAGCAGCCGCTCCGCAGCTCGGCAGGGCCTCGCGTCCTCCACCGGCCTTTCGCAGCCGGCCGGCACTCGGCCATTTTTCCTCCATTTCGTTGTCTCTCGACGCTTGGTTTCTTTTGAACGATGTGCTGCGGTCCGAGCCCGCCGCCCTCCCACTACCGCTCGCTGGGGCCCGGGGAGGGGCGAGCGCGGCCGGGCCCCACCAGGCCGCGGCCTGCGGGCCCGCAGCGCGG